CCCGAGCTCGGCCGCTCGGCTTCTGTCCAGAGCGATGAGCAAAGATTGTGGAATCACGGCTGCCAGAGCGGCGTCTATCGCCATTTCAATCAGAAAAGAGCGCATCGCATTCAAGCAAGCAAACGAGCAAGCCACCAGTACTAGCAGATAAGAAAGGACGTGCGAGCGCACCGTGCGGTTCTTGGCACCAGGCGGTGTGCTGTCAGGGAGTGCGGCGATGCAAATCGGTCGGCGCTCCGGTGTTATCTGTGTAAGGTCTCATTCGTGGCAGTTTTCGTGACATCGACCTCCCAACTTTGCAACCCCTTTCAAGCACGGAGAAAGATGGTCAAAATGTTAGGGCCGACTGCGCCCCTGAACATTTTGTATAGCGCTGTGCTCAGGTAAGCTGACATTAATTATAAACTACAGATTGCTGCTACACTGGATGTCATTGCCAGTCCGGATATGGTCTATGCGAGATGCTCCGTCTAGGAGCCGCACCGTGGCACTCAGTGGCGTACGCAGGATTTCATTTCGGTGGGGGCCGGACCAACGGGGGACAAGATAAGGGGGTAAAGGGAGTAAAGGGGGTAAAGAGGGACAAGATAAAAAGAGAAAAGAAAGTCCAAGAGGAAATAAAAGCATTTAAATTTTTTTTTTAAGAACTATGCATTATTCTATTAAATAATTAAAGTTGTCATATTAGTTTTGGGATGATTATGATACATAAAAAATGGTGCCCCGGAAATTCCTCACCAGGAAGGCATTTGCACTTTACTTTCTTTATTTACAAGTCACGTCAACAGAAGGCACCAGAGTTAGCAGAAAACAATCATAAAAACAAATATTATATAAAGCACGACTCCAATGCACGAAGCCGCCAGTCATCGGGGCTGATAAAGCAATGATACATGAGAGGAAACGTGGAACACCTTGATAAATAGACGATAAACACTGGAAAGCTGCTCCACCATAAATTACTTCCCATCTTAAAAATCTCACATGATTTGTTCGTTGGTGTCAATTTCTAGTTTTCGAAGTCCGTTCACAAAAGAAAGTCAAGGAAGTCACACGACGCAACAAAGGAACGATGGAAAATGGTTTGTACACTCACATATTGCACTTGGCTCTCGTCCTGAGGCAGCAGGTCACACACTCGCGCAGTTCTCAAACTGCCGATGACAACTTCCGTACTCTAACCTTGAACCGCAAATCCCGCGCCTTTAGGCGCCTATATTCACTTTGTTAAGAGTTTTCCCGCCACCCAAGGAGCCAATCAGATATCGCTCTTTTTAGACCAATGGGAGCCACATGGTGCAAAACAAACACATACAATACAAAATCCGATTAAGAAAGTACATGTACACATACCCCCGAAAACTCCCAAAAACCTTCGCCCTAACTGTCGACCGTCAGCCGGACATCGCTTCCAGGAAAAAAAACCTCGTCGGGGTGCACGAGCAGTACCGAAGCTTCTTCTCAAAATAAAAAAAAGGCTACAAAACATCGAGGGGCCCCAGCGCATGGTACGCACCGAGAGCGGAGATTCTCGAGGAACAATTAACCCCTTAACCGTTTTGGACGAGCCTAGCTCGTCCATCTCGAGCCGTCCCCAAACCGTTTAGGACGAGTGTAGCTCGTCTGTCCTGCATCGTTCGTCCCTCCGCCGTTTTAGACGACGCAGGCTCGTTCGTAACGCAGTTTGAGATGCTGCCGACAGATGGCAGCACAGGAACGGCAATTTTGCATCTGCTTTGTTTGTGTTTCGTCTTTTTCTTCTTTTGAAGACAAGATTGAAAACTGGCGTCCGGCGGTGGTGGCCGGTGTGGCCCGGTATCATACAAAGGGAAAAGAAATGCTTCTTTTGAGGAAGACTTCGACAGCGACATGAATACTGACGTCTACTTCTGTTCTTCAAGTGAAGAAGACAGTGATTACGACGTCGAACTCAGCAGCTCCTCGGACGAAAAGGAGGACGACGACGATCCAGATCACGCTAATGCCGATGCTCGGCAGTGGTCGAAAATTGACATGAATAGTGTTCCACCAGCACCCCCTCGGTTCCCTTTTCTCGGCAGCCCGAGTAAGACATTTTCGGTCCATTCAACCACCGACGGCTTGAGTACTTGGGAGCTTTTCTGGACAACGGCTTGGTCTCGCTGATAGTTAGGGAAACCAACCGATACGCTGAGCAAAAACACAACGCCAGCCAACTCAGCGAGCATTCTCGCCTCAAGAATTGGGTACCAACAACAACAGAGCTAGGAGATGCGGGTATTCCTGTCGCTCCTGCTGTTGCAAGGAATTGTGCAAAAACCGGAGGAAAAGTTGTACTGGTCGAAGAACAAGCTTCTGGACACGCCCATCTTTGGAGAAGTGATTTGCGGTAACCGGTACCAGCTCATCATGAGGATGCCTTTTTTTTTTTTTAGTACGAGTTACCTGAACTTGTCGCAAAAACAACGCAATTACAATTGACTTCAATAAAATGTTTGTTTGCTCTGATGTTCAATTGTAATAGGAATTATGCGTGGAGTAACTGAAATCTAAGAAGAAGAAAAAAAAAGAAGCAGTTTAGGGTTAAAAATTGCCAAAAATGAAAAACGGTTAAGGGGTTAAGCAAGGGACAAGGAGGCCGCTCCGTGGCGACGACAAACCAGCCCCGGCGACTCCGCAGAATTGGGGCACTCGCGGAGCAATAAAAGTAGAAGTAAACGAATATATTTTCTTTCCTGAGTAACGCTAGCAGTGCAGCCTAGCTCACAATATATTGAACAAATGAGATGCGCGGCCGATTATAGTACACATATATATATATAACGTGCGTGCGTGCGTGAATCCCGCAGTGCCGGCTACTCCGCGACAACCGTTGTATAAAACTATATTGGAACAGAAGAAAACGGAAAAGCAACAACACACATATACACAAAAAACAGATTGCGGAGGCCGCGGGTTACAGGCCCAATCGCACAACCCGCAATCCTTGGTTACGTTTATCACGATCTGTGGGGTCCCCACAAGCTCGACCCATCTTATTAAATGTATGATGTTTTTGTCGTTTTTTCTTCTTACTAAAGGTTGTGTTGTATCGTTTCACACGCGTGGAAATTCAGCAAAGCGTTAAATATTAAGTCGGATGCTTCCATAATCTTAGTGCTGTGGTTTGTAGAACCTTTGGTCTTACATATTTTTGTTATATCGCACAATCGCAAATTGGAGATGGGAGGGTTCATTAGCAAATTAATCCGACTGATCGCCACCCTTTAATAGACTAATGAATAAATTAATTAATTAATTATTCCTCAGTCGGATTACACGAAAGACGTTAAAACTACACACTTTTAATTAAATGACATATTGCATACCCTTCCTTTCTTATTTTTTTTTTTTTAGAGCGCAGCTCTTAGGGGCCTGTTTCCAGCCTGAGCGGCGTCGGCGTCGCCGTCAGCGTAACCGGGGGGGGGGGGGGGGGGGGGGGGGGAAGGGTCACGTGACCCCCCCCCCCCCCTTGAGGTCACGTGACCCCCCAATGTCACGTGACCCCCCCTCCCCCGAGATCACGTGACCCCCCCGGGGTCACGTAACTACACGCAGGTGACGCGACCCTTCTCAGTACCCTTCCCTACTCCTCCTCAAGAGCTGCGCTCCAATTCGGCGTTACAGGGATTTGTAAACGGCTTTCATTTTTTTTTTACCCACAAAGTTGGCTCCGCTGTTAAAAAAAAAAATAAACAACACCGCATCGATATTGATGAACCCGAGAGTCGGTGACCTTGCCCACTCTCCCCCCCCCCCCGCTCGAAAGTTTCGGGGGGGGGGGGGGGCTGCGGCCCCTTCGGCCCCCCCCCCCCTGTGTACGCCACTGGTGGCACTATGCTGTCTTGTCGCCCAATAAGCATTTGCAAAATCACCGGGCCCGTCGTGCCAACCCCGCAGCCCTTTGTATCAGCCGCTGCTTCTAACGCCGCGCACGTTTCAGCGCAAAACAGTTAAGCTTAACATGCACATGCCACAAATGCACAAATGCAATGCCAACAGTGCACAATAATAAACTCAGCAATTTATCTGACATTAAACTAGCAAGACAACGAGAACCACACCACCAGGTATAACGGGAGAACCCGCACGCCTTGGAGAAAGAGACGGGAAGATAACGGGCCCCTGTGAAAGCCTGGGGCATGGAGAAGAATGAAGTTGGCCGCCAAATGTGTTGTATTGGTCACGTAGGACGGCAGAGTTTGAACATATTAGCCGGGATGCCAAACTCTACCAACAGAACATTATTTTGCACCTCCCTACGGGTATTCAATGGGACTAGCATTCGCCAACATAAAAGTCGAGGAAATTTATTAACCGAGAACGTACAAACTGGCTCCACTGCACATAGTTTTAAAGAGACATGTTCCACTGTGAAGAATATATCATCTCACATCCTTCGCAAGTTTAGCTTGCCAACAACCTTGAAGCCATTCATAACCATGGCATGTGATTCATCACATCAGCATACTCAATCTAACGTAAGCGTTTAACAGACTCTCGAGCTTCCAGTACTATCTTACTGTAGACTTATCTCTCAAATATGCCTCTTACATAAATTATACCAGAAAAACACAGGTCCCATATGACACACTGCTATAATCTCCCGACAGGGTACTGCATCGCCTCAATCGCAGTCATTACATCAATAGAGCGATAGGCAAAACTTTACCTTTTACACAATTTTTTCCCCAAACTATAGACCCCTCTGGAACTCCCTCCTTGAACAAACTGTCCTTTTTACGGACCCACCCAGGCATTCATTCACAGACAGCCACCTTAAACCTCTCCTAACTACCACTCACGTACCAAAATGTTAGCGTATGCTGTTTTTAATAATAATGTTCTTTTGCATATCAAAGTGTTATATTATATTCGCCCATTTCCCCCCTTATGTAATGCTTCGTTAGAACCATAAGGAGAAAATAAAATGAAATTAGGCGCAGAATTGCACGCCAATCAGCAAGACTCCGCATCCTCACCTTTAGAGCGGATCTCTGTCGGGGAAGCCGACGCATCCGCGCTCGAGAGTGCCTTGACTTCGATGGGCAGACCGTGGCAGTCCCAGCCCGGCACAAAGTGGACGCGGTCACCCCGTAGGGATCGGCACCGGATGGTGATGTCCTTGAGGATCTTCAACAAAAGACACAAAGCTGTCTCGTTATGGCAACAAAAACAGAGGCACCAGAGTCCCTCCCAAATCGAGGCACCCACCAACGAAACACACGGTATACAATCAACAAAATCGAAAAGGTATTTCGTTCGAATCAATATTTTGGCATGTCAGCCAGCATGTTTTGGTGGCAAGAGAAACGACCTAGATGCCTCACAACACAAAAGAGAAGCAACTTACTTTCTTTTCCATGCAAATGAGAGTGCTGCATATTTTTTCTCATAACTGGATAGGAAATGTAACAAAACTGTAGGGCTGTGTTGGCAAAGGAGAAGAAAAAAAGCTTGACTGACGAGAAAAGCCTTCGTGACACAGGACTCCATAGTGCACTTGCAACCAGGATCAAACGTAAATATACCAACAAATGAAGGGTTCATATTTCCTTCAAAACCTGTTTTAGACTTATTGATGCTCTGCATAAGACCTCGATATGCAGTAAACATGGAACGCACACTGGATTCTTGTTTCACGCCATGGTTTCTGCGTGAGAAATTATGAAAAAACGGAACAGTGACTTCTCTCTCCTCTCGGCACAAAAGGGGAAGCTCAAAAGTGTGCAACGCGACGAGCGTGGTGGCTCACGGGAAGACGAAACACAAAGTGACAAGTTGGAGACAGTCTCAGCTTGTACTGCATTGCGAGAAAACGAGGAGGATTAGCACTTCTGCATGACAACGGTCATAATGAATGCTTGGACAATCAATATCTGCACCGTCATGAGCCACCTCACCCATGCTTCAAAAAAACATGAATTTAAGGGGAAAAAAAAGCTTGCTCGAAAAGTCTTTTGGGGTCTTTTAAAAAAGAAGAACACTAGTAAACTTAAAAACAAAAGTATTTATTTTTATTTTTTAAGTGCCTGGATAACACAAGTCCATTAAAAAAAAAAACCGTTCCCAGAGAAAAAGTTTTATTTTCAGAATACTTAGGTCACAAGACTCACTTTGATAGTCACAACGTGCTTCCCTTTGGTGCTTCTACTTCAGGACAATACATATGCCAAAAGACAAGCACAATTCGTAATCGCTCCTTACTCAAAAGGAGTCCCACAATGTAAATAATTCACTCTTTTTTTTTCTCTCTAGGAGGGAAGGGCAGACCGTGGGTGAGAGAGTTCAGTTTGTGACATGGGGGGGTTTGGGTTTTGGGTTTTCATGCCGCAAGGGCTGCTAAGGTCAAAAAGCGCCAAAAAAGGAAACTATTGCATTGAGGGTAAGCGAGAAGAAAGGACTCTAGTGGTCAGGGTCAAAAGTAAAGGAATGAGACATGAATCGGATAATGTCACAAACAAAAATGAACATGAGTGAAAAGCTTTGAAGTTCACAGTCAATGTAGAAGACCAATAGCTTCTAAAAACTTAAAAACCTGCTTGTAAGTTACGAATGGTTCATCACCCAATAACAGCATTGGGTATAAGGGAATGTGCTTTCTGTATAACTGTGCGAAGTGAGATCGGCGTTCCCGTTCATAGAAAGGGCAATCAATTAGAAAATGGAGAACACTTAGAGGTTTGTCACACTGTTCACACAAAGGGGCATCCTCCCCACGGAGCAGGCAGCCATGAGTCAGATGAGTGTGGCCAATGCGCAAGCAACACAGTACTAGTACTTCATAAAAGCGTTCCTGGTGCCGGGCGCTCGCCCATTCACCCAGGTCTGGCTTAACGAGATGCAGCTTGTTGTAGATCTCCTCATTCCACTCGGCTTGCCATTGTGCTCGTATGCGGGACTTTACAAAAGTGTAATAGTCCATGTAGGGGATCCTTTTAATATCTACCTCTTTGCTGACGCATGTGCGGGCAGCACGGTCGGCTGCCTCATTGCCCATGGCTGGGAATCCAACAAAAGACGATGGTGCAATGCTTTCTGGCTGCCACAATCATTTTCTTCTGAACTTCAACAACAAGGGCGTTCCTTGCAGGCAGCAGTGAACAGATGGCTCGCAAGGCACTAAGAGAGTCAGTGAAAACCACTGCCAGGGGTATCCTGTGACGGGCTATGTGTTCCGTAGCCAACAGGAGGCCATACAGCTCCGCTGTGAGAATGGCAGCAGAAGTATTTATCCGCCTTACAACTTCCACTGAAGAGCCAATGACAGAGCAACCAACAAAGGTCTCAGATTTCGTTCCATCTGTATAGAACTTTGCATAATCGTCATACAATTGAGCAAGTTCATGAAATTCTTGCAGAAGCACAGAACTTGGAGTGCTTTTCTTGTTATACTGTGCAAGAGACAGGTTGCAGTGTATGTCAGGGTGCTCCCAAGGTGCTATGGGGCCAGGGAATTCGACTACCTGGGATGCCACATCTAATCTGACAGACTCGGCCAAGGTCTTCAATCGCATACTGAATGAAGGGATCACGCTAGGTTTTGCGAGAAAGAGTCGTTCCGACCGTGTTTCTTGAACAATTTCTCGAGTGGGGTGCTGGAGGACAGATCGGATGCGAAGAGAGTACATCATGCCCAATGTGAATTTACGTCTTTCGAGGCAACACTCATTAGCCTCTGCATACAAACTGGGCACAGGGGACGTACGAAATGCACCCGTAGCCAAACGAAGCCCAAGGTGATGAATCGGATCCAACATCTTGAGCACAGATTGCCAGGCAGACCCATAAACAAAGCAGCCATAGTCCAATTGGGAGCGCACAAATGAGCAATAGATCCGCAGGAGGCACAATCGATCCGAGCCCCAAGACCGGTGAGAGAGAACTTTAAGGATATTGAGAGACTTGTGAGCTTTCAGTTTCAGGCTTTTTGCATGAGCATTAAAATTCAGTTTACTATCAAACGTAAGACCCAAAAATTTGTGCTGAGGTTGGACACTAACATTACTATTGTAGATTGTTAGGGATGGTTCAAGAAGGATTCCACATTTGCGGGTGAAGCAAACACATGCAGTCTTTTCAGGAGAGAACTTAAACCCATTACTGTTAGCCCACTCAGTAAGCTTGTTGATGCCTAGCTGAGCCCTGCGTTTACAGACTGAGAGGTTACAGGAGGAAACTGAAATTTGTAAATCATTGACGTAAAGTGAATACTGAACCGACGGAGGGATTACAGAAGCAATGGAGTTCATTTTAACTATAAACAAGGTGACACTTAGTACTCCCCCCTGCGGCACTCCATTTTCCTGCAGAAATTCACAGGAAAGTGTGTTTCCCAGCTGGACTCGAAAAGTGTGCCTGTCTAAATAGCTCTGAATTGCACGAAGCTTGCGACCACGCAGTCCGAGGTTCAATAGGTCCCTCAAAATGCCAAAGCGCCAAGCCATGTCATACGCTTTCTCGAGATCAAAGAACACGGAGAGGCAGTGCTGCCCGTGTGCAAAGGCCTCATGCACGACAGTTTTGAGACAGACCAAGTGGTCAACTGTGGACCTTGATAAACGATAGCCGCACTGAAATTTGTCGAGCACGTTACCATGTTCGAGATAGTACATTAGCCTACGATTAATCATTCGCTCCAATGTCTTACAGAGACAACTGGTAAGAGAAATGGGCCTATAACTGGAAACACAAGAAGCATCCTTACCAGCCTTCAAAAATGGAAGGATATGTGCTACCTTCCAAGATGAAGGGAAATAGCCCTCCTGCCATATGCGGTTATAAAGATATAAAATGACATTGAGTGTAGAAGGATGAAGATGCTATAGCATTGAATAATGTAAACCATCTCGTTTAGGAGCTGAGGGCATTGTGTAATGGAGAACTGCGAGGAGCTTGTGCAAGCTAAATGTAGCATTATATTCCTCCTGTTTACCTCCTGAGGTTTTCAAGTGATTGCTCTCAGCCTTCAGCTTGTGTCGAAGGAAGGTAGATGAATAATGATGTGAACTGGATATATATTCAAAATGTTCCCCAAAAATATCAGCTTGTTCCTAGAGTGTGTCTGGGCATGTTCCATTCCTAAAAAGCAGGGGGATTTTTAATGCATGATAGGAACCATTGATCTTGTGTATTCGATCCCAAACCTCCTTAGGTGAGGTACTGCTATTTATAGTGGAAGCATAGCCTTGCCAACCTTCCTGTTTGGCTTTTCTTCAGACGTAGCATGCACGGGCCTTCATTTTCCGAAAGGATATGAGGTTATATCTAGTGGGGTATCATCTCAGAATACCCCAAGCCCAATTTTGTTTCTTGCATGTCTCTTCACATTCCGAATTCCACCAGGGCTTTGGCCTCCTAGGAAGAAATTGAGATGTCTGCGGGATGGACAGCTTGGTTGCCGTGATAATGCGCTCGGTTAAAAGATGATTGAGTTCGTCAATTGTAATACTTTCGAGACGAGAATATGCTAAAAGCGATGCCTGCTTGAAAAGGCCCCAATCAGCCGTGTCAAGCTTCCAACGAGGCGGGCGTGTATGAATTAAAAGAGGGGCTACGCTAGAGGTTAAAAGAGTAGGAAAATGGTCGCTTCCACGTAGATTGGAATCCACACTCCAGGAAAAATCTGGAAGTAAACTAGCAGAACCAACTGAAAGGTCGATGGAAGTTGATGACAAAGATGATGGACTAAAATAGGTTGGCTGGCCCATATTAAAAAGACAAAGACTTTGTGTGGTTAAAACTGACTCAACGATTTTTCCTCTGACATCCTGACGTGTGCTCCCCCATAAAGGGTTGTGACAATTAAAATCGCCCATCAAAAGGAAAGGTTCAGGAAGCTGGTCTAACAGCGAGTTAAAATCTGAACATTTCAAAGTAAAGGAAGGTGGTAGATAAAAAGAGCGTACTGTAAGAGCCTTATGGTGCAAGAACCGAACAGCCACTGCTTCAAGTGGTGTGGACAGTGGAACCTCTGTGCAGGGAACCTCTCCCGGGAGAACCACCGCAACTCCCCCAGAGGAACTGACAAAGCTCGGACGATCCCTCCGGAAAACCTGGTAACGTCTGAGGAAATTAGCATGGCTGGTACTCAAATGATTCTCTTGCAAGCACAGCGCTCGTGGCTTGCACTCCTCCAGAAGATGCGCTACATCATCCAGGTTTCTTAGAAGGCCACGGCAGTTTTAAGCCATTTTAGGCACAAAAACCGGAGCACATGGAAAAGTGAGTCAGTTGCCTCACTTCGGAGGAGTTACAAGTTCTTTCGATTTCTGTTTCTTCGTAGTCTGCCACTCCATCTCATCCTGGTCAGAACCCCGAGTCGATGAGGGGGCAGCCAAGGCAGCGCCAGTGTTCTCCTCAGCCCCGCAGGCAGACTTGCCTGCTAGCCCGGGAGGGTCTGTGCCGCGGGACCCCAATCCGCGGCCACGACCAGAAGTAGGTGGAAGGGTGGTCGAGGTACTGGGGAGGGGTTCTACCCCATCCATCTGTTCCACCTCTTTTCCCGACGAGGAACCTGCGTGCGAGCCACGCAGCTCCTTGGTTGCTGGCTGCCTCTCCAGGGAATGAGGCCGAGGGCCTCGCTTCTTCTCCTTAGGAGAGCGGCCAGTGTTGACAGGTGCAGACAGTGCTGGCCTGTCCTGAGCAGAGGAAGCAGCTAAGGCGCCCTCCCCGCGAGAAGGGGGAGCCTGCTGACCCTGCTCCATAGTCTTGAAGGGGAGGGCGAACATGGCTATTGCCGGCCCGTCCTTGCCCAGGGGAGCAGCATGCCGCTCCTGTTGATGGGATGGGGCCCTTAGGTCAGCCGCCAAGATCTCAGGAGAGACCTGAGTGGCCCTAGTCTCCGAGCGTGGTGCAGGACCCCTGCGCACCACCTCGGCGTAACCTCCCTTTGAGAGGAACGACAGCTTCTTCTTAGCTTCCAAGTAGGGGATATTCTCCTTTGCCTTTAAGGAAAGCATTTCTTTTTCTTGACGCCAAAGGAGACAGGTGCGGGAGTAGGCTGGGTGGGGCCCACTGCAGTTACTACAGCGGGCCGCCGCCTCGCAGATGTCAGCAACATGTTCCTGGCTTCCACATTTCGCACGAGTTTCTTTTCCTTGGCAACTGCGTGACCCATGCCCAAAGCGCTGGCAGCGGAAGCACCGTTGCGGATTGGGAACATAGGGACGAATGCGACACTGGAGATAACCCGCCTTCACAGTTTCAGGGAGGGTATGTCTTGCAAAGGTCAAGATCACATGCTTTGATGGAGTTTCCTTGCCATCCTTCCAGAACATAATACGTTTGACAGCGACAACACCAGCACCTTTCAGTCCTTCCAGAATTTCTTCCTTGCTAGCATCGAGGAAGTCTTCTTCAGAGAGGACTCCACGGATCGTGTTGAGCGTCCGGTGAGGACTCGCGGACACTTCGACGTCCACTATGCTGGTCATCTTGGAGAGTGCCTCACTTTGAACTTTTGTATTTACTTCAACGAGAAGGTCGCCGGAGTGGAGTTTTTTCGCTTTGTATGAGAACTTGATACGGTTTTCTAGCACCTTGGCTACCACAAAGGGGGACAATTTCGACACTGGTTTGTCTTCGAGGTTCGAGCGAATGACAAAAACTTTGCAAATGTTCCCATTTCAGGGACTTTTTTAGTGACTTGGGGCTCAGGGCAAGGCCTCTTAGAAGCCTGCCTTGAACCGGGTTTAGAGAGGAGGGACGCCATATGAAGGGCGAGAACTTCGGCATCTATAGCGCACCATCCACCACGGAGTCCAACGAGGGGATAGGTAACGTCTCATAACAGGTCTGGCTTGTCTGAGTATGTTACTCTACCAGTGCTACTAGGGCGCTATAACCAAGTGTGGGTAAGGAGAGAGTTCTGTCGCCACCCAAGGTTAGCCCTTGCCGCCAAACGAGTTGAAAAAGGAAAGAAGAAAAATGAGAAGAGTGAAAAGAAGGAGAAGACAAGGGTGAAAGAAGGGATAGGAGAAGTGGCGACTGACTGAATCATCCTGGTCGGGCCAAGCCAGGACACCCGTCTACGGGAAGCGGGGGCCGAAGTGGTGTATTGCCTCGCCCAGGGGGCCCCGAAGGGTCCAACCTACCCCGGGCTCGGCTCAACCACCAGGATGCCCTTTTCCCCGGACACGGGAAAGCCACGGACAGCCAAATGTGGGCGGGCGAACCCGCATGGCTTGGGGTCCGTGGAGACGCCACTCTCCAAACACCTGCTTTCACAGGTGCCCCCTGCGGGGAGTTTGTGACATGTTTGCTATCTATTTGGGTCTGGTGCCTCTAGGAGCTATTCCAAAACATGCTTTTATTTCGGGTCAACTTTCCGAAATGTGTGAATTTCACAATGGAAATTGTGAAATGTACATATTTCACAATTTCCATTAGCTCACACTCGTACACAGAAATGAATGCCTTACTTTCATGTTGATCAACATCTGTCTCGAAAGTTAATCATATTTAAAGGGGTTAGGACGAGAAAATGAAATGGGTAGATTATTCTTGAAATAATCAATTTAGGAATTTTGATCATTTTCATTTGGCAACCAGGCAGCACTGCCCAAGTTAGTCACATCATGGTGCCCGTATGCCACGTGATCATGAACACAATCATTCTAAGGGCCCCCACGATCGCCCAAGCTCGCCTCGCCGCGGTACGATCACAACCCCTCACGCAACTCGGCTACTCCAACGCTACTCTCACTCCCGTGCACGGCCCTTCCAACTTCCACCCTGCATGCACCTGTGAGACCGTCGCGGACGACGGCGACTACGGCGAGTTCGTCCATGGCAATCTCCTCGTCGCTGGAGCTGGTCGCCAGCAGGTCGCAGTCAAAATGACCAGTTTCCAAAATCGCTTGATAACAATCACTCTCATCACACTGCGATCAGTGTCAAAGACTTCGACGAAGCAAGCAATGCCGTAGACGTACTCGTCTCTAAACGCAGAAGGTAAACGAAGGAGCTCAAGCTCGAGACGCCAAAGACAGCCAAGTCTACGAGTGCATGCAAGGGGAAGCCACGCGTTGGGCGAATGACGTCACTGACACAACAAACCTGGCGGCTTTCCCGAATGGGGTAGATCTGAGGGTCCCGCATATAAATCAATTTATCCTCGAAACTATCGCTCCGTTTTATAAACAAGTTTAGCAGAAATATAGGAATGAACATACAATGGGTCTTAGCAGTATAGTTATCTCATATTTTATTTTTGGCATGTTCTAACCCCTTTAATTTGTGTGGAGTGCTTGGATGGGACACATATATTATTAAATGAACATTACCCAAAGAAGAATTTTTAGAGCAACGTTGAGAGCAATTTCTTTTTTTAATTGAAAAACTTACACTCGCAAAAATGCAAAAAGATAAAAAAATATTCGGGGAATGTTCATTTTATGACATACCTGTCCCATCCAAGTACCTGACAAAAAAAAATATTTTTGGAGGGTCAGTGTCTCTTTAATTATTATTAACTTACGAAACACAAATTTGGACACACATGTTGCTCAACAAGGAAAAGAAGGCATTACAATCGAAGAAGGCTTTCGAACCAAGAATTCTTCCTGTATACGAGTGTGAGCCAGCACACTTTAAAATAATGGTTTACATTAATGAACCGTCGAGTAACTGACCTTGTTGACGGCGTGTCCCAGATGAGTGTCTCCGTTGGCGTACGGCGGGCCATCGTGGAGCACAAACTCGGGCCCACTGTTGTGTTCTCGCTGCCACCGGTAGTGCTCGGAAAAGCAGGCAGACTGAAATAAAGGAAGCTTCTGAACGGTCACTGCAGATTGACCAGCCACACTTCGAGAATAAACGTTACGTTCGAGATGCAAATATGGGGCAAAATCTATGCTTTTCTCCAAAAACAAACTGGGGTGTCCGGTAAATCTCAAGTTCTTCAGATGTCCGACACATGTGCTATTTGATGCAATATAGTTATGCCCATCAGCATATTATTTGTCAAAAGCACATCAATGATCCACCACCGTTAAATATCTCTGCCATGGTTTCTTCCTCCAATGTGTATGCAAACTGTATGTAAGCACTATTTTTCTCTAGTCCAAAGTGTTGCGGTTAGTTCATCTTGAATTGAAGCTGCGAAAAACATGCCTTCAACGTTACTGGGTATGCTGTTGACACATACATTGCTTATGTCGAAAAATATTTTGTTAATGTCACCTTGTTATGTTGCAATATGTTTTACAGCATGCTTCCCTGGTTGTTATAATGTGGCACTTTTCTCTTAAAGCACGCTTTCTTGAGTGCTATAATGTGGCACGTTTCTGTGTTGTTGTTTTTTTTTTTTTTATTGTTTTTTTTCTATTGGGTTTTAAAGGGGGGTGCAATGATTTCCGGACTTCGGTCAAAGATTTCTGGAAGTTTCCCTCTGACACTTCTGAAGTAAAGAACAGAAAACCGATTTCGCCTGCGTGTCCTAGCATGTTGCGTAAAAAAAAAAGATAAATATTGGCGTTTCAAGCACCCCTCAACTCACTCCCAGCCTTCAGGGTCACACCTGGTTCCTCTCCAAGTGACGTCATTCGGAGTGCCGTGTAGGTTCCCGTGTGCTATCTCGGAGGACGCTTCCTCTCCCTTTCTCTGCTGACATTAGCGGGCGTTATGCTGCAGCTTAGAGCCGAGCAAGGTCACGTAATCTTTTCGCCGTAGTTCCTTCGGCTGCCACTTGGGGCTGCAGGTGGGGGAAAAAGCTCGACTTTTGCTTTGCGATTATGCAGCGGAATCACGACATTTTTAATGAAGGAGGTGTTTTCTCTATCCTCCGGGACACGATAAACAACGTAAAAATGACGAGATGCAAATTATTTTAATCATAAAATCGTTGCACCGCCCTTTTATTAAGCACAACTTGCAACAAATTAATCTGCTATCCCCCACTGACATAATGCCAATGTAGCAAAGTAGAAATTACCACTACGCTGTGAGGCAGTGACAGGCGCCAGTGACTATGTTGCATCAGTGAGCTGATTGAAGATAAAAATATAAACCTCTTTGGTTGCGGAGACACGGGACATCGCTTTTAGTGTCGCCATTTTACAGTTAAAGTCACATTCCATTAAGAGTGAAATTTGGAGCACCTCTGAGATAATATCGGAAAATCCCGGCGTTCGCGTAGTCAGTACCAAAACAGAAACCAATGCATCGACGATACACCACCTTCGCGATGTCGTCGTCCCTCTGCGATGTTTTGGCCCCACTGAGTCGCTGAGGAAAGCTCGTCTTTGGCAGAAGAACAGTCCCGGCGTACGATTTCCTGCTTAAAAACCTTGATCCCGCGCATCCGAGCCGGTATCTGTTCAGCACGCGTGAAAACCTCAGTATTTTCAACAGCATCGTGCGAACCGCGTTGGACTCCATGGGTGCCGCCATCTTACCCGAAGCGCTGCGTTCGTTCATTCGCCTCCTGCGCGCGAAGACAACAGCGCGGGTACAAAAGTGTAACCTTGTGTAACTGTTTAAACTAGGGGTGTCGCGAACCGGCCGAGGTTCGAGTTCGACCTGGTTCGACTTTTTCGAACTTTTCGTGGAAATTTCGACGAACCTTGTATTGAGGTTCGACTCGTGTGCGCATGCGCGACAGGCTAACCAGTTGGCTTCGGATTGGATGGTAATGGCTAATGGATGAATTAAGGGCACCGCTGGTTGGTTATTTCAGTTAATACAGTACAAACAAAATGAAGTTATTAACGTCTTTAGTGATTAGAAATGGTTTCTTTTAATTCAAACTGTTCATAAAATAAAATAACCATTTGCATAAAAATAAATTCTCCAAACCTAGACATGCGTCTATCAAGGTCTGGCCACACTGTCCGCAAAGTCGAACTGGTCGAATCTGGTTGAAAAGTTTCGAAGGTTCGTCGAACCGGTTCGACTTAGTCGAACCCCGAAAGTTCGACCTAAGAATCCGGTTCGACAAAAGTTCGCGACACCCCTAGTTTAAACAAGGTTTAACCAAGTTTGACGTCACAATTGTTTTGATCCGTTTTATTTGTAAAGGTCAACAAATGTATTTTTTTCTGTTAGTGTAGTATTTATTTCTCTTACAAAGATGATATGTTTGAGTTAATGTTCAGAGTCACTTATTTCTATGACACTTGCTGGATCGCGCGTCCCCACTCCGCTATCTGGACGGCCATCTTGCACGCCTATTTTTTTTCTTGTTTTGCTAGCGTTGCAGAGGCCGGGGGCAGCGTGCTGAGGGGACGTTTTCTACTCGTTCGTCGTCACTCGCCGAACACGTTCTTTAAAGGGATACTTCAACAAAATTTGAAATATTCCCGTCATGTTCAAAAATAGGTTGAATATGATCCACAATATCCGTAAATGACCATCGCACGTTTGTATTTTGAGCCTGGTGGCTGTATTTTTCGTTATAAACAGCCCACTCTAGCAGGCGCTCGGAGAAGGCCCAGCGGAGACCACGTGACATTTAACGAAATCGTGACGGAGGTCGTCTCAGGACGAGCAAAGCTGCGGCGAGGCTGACGTCGATAGGATGGCCTAGTCGTTCCAGCCACCGAAGCGGCTGCTTTTGTACGAATTTTGAGTGACGGGTTAATCTTCTGTAATTTTGTAGGGGGACAATAGCGACTTCTGCGACACACAAAAGGCATTCTCGGGAAGAGGGGAGTTCCTCCTGCCCCTCTTCTCTCGTCGTGGCCGGAGACGAGACAACCTCCGTCACTAGTTGTCAAGGTTCCTAGACGGGCATTACAAGCGAGGCGTTAGCGACATCCACCAGGTGCTCTTTGCTAATCGTTTAATTCGTTTTAAAATTCTTTTTCGTGACTTTTTTAACAAGATATTGGTATGTTCGAGGTGATGTTGCTTTTTTGAACACATATAGACCAAAAAATGAGCGCCGAAATTTCATTGTAGTATCCCTTTAAGATCCTGTGTGAGGCATGATACTTGCCGTTGAAAACACGTGGAAATTTTTACGAAAGCGCAGTGCTGCAGGAGAAAGGCACAACTCGTCAAAAACAAGTTTCGTCGGTCTCGCGGCGTGCTCAAAGCTTCCTTGGCACGCCGAAATGGTGTGTCTCCAGGGGCGAATGCAGGAATTTCCTGAGGGGGGGAGGGGCCAGGTGTTGGTCAGCGTATCATATGTTTAGAAACCCCCTCCCCCTCGTTTTACGCCTTAAAATTTACACAAGCAGAAATCAAGAGGGAGGTCAGGAAATCCGGACCCCCCCTCTAAATCCGCCCCTGTGTGTGTCTTTTCCTTTGCACGCTTGGATACTGATCAAGAATTGAGACTGTGTGGACGTGTGAAGCCGTATGTAAAGGTGCAACTCATCGAAAGCAAGTGTCGCCGGTCTCACGGCGCGATCAAAGTTTCCTTGGCACGCCGAGTGCTGCATCTTTGTGCCTTTGCACGCTTGGATACCGATCAAGAATCGACGCTGCGCCAAAGTTTTGAAGGAGTGTCGCGCGTAGATGTCTTTAGATCATATATATCGGTCACAGAGTTCTGGATCGTCCAGCTGTTTTGGTGAGTTGCTATCAATAAAGAGAGGAGGGGAGCCCGCGGGAGTGAATTGTATGTGCTCTTATGTACTATTAACCATGGCTATGTTCCAAATTGACTCTAATGGATCAGACGGGAGCACAAATAGAGCAACGCTGTGGAGCAAGGAGGGTTTTCGAAGGCGAAAGTACAAGACCGCGAGAATGAAAATCTTAGCGCGGCCCGTATGGTCGTGTGCAGTCTGTTGACCGATCACAATTAGGCGAGCCGCGCTCAAACGTCAAGTGCAAGTAGGTTTATAATGAGCCAGCATTGTTCAGTGACGAGGAGCTGTTGTGCTCGGTATTCTGCAAATCGTCTAACGACGAAAAAAGACGCACCTTCCCCCCTCTTTCGCCACTACTGGACGCTGGATCAAGCTCGTTTCTGGACTGCAAGTGCCACAAGTATACAGTCGTCCGAGTAAAGTAAGACGCTTCACACACATTGCACTCTATCGCAAAACAGATCCACACGGCATCGATTCTTGATTGGTATCCAAGTGTGCATAGGCACAGAGACACAGCACTTCGGTGTACCGAGGAAGCTTTGAGCTCGCTACGAGACCGGCGAAACTTGCTATCGACGAGCTGCGCCTTTTTCCTGCGGCACTGCACTTTTGTAAAAATTTCGTCGTGTTCTCAATGGCAAGTATCATGGCCCACACAGGAGCTTAAAGAACGTCTTCGGCGAATGACGACAAACAATTAGAAAACGTGTCTGTAGCATGCTGCCACCAACCTCTGGAATGCTAGCCAAACGAAAAAAAAAAGGCATGCAAGATGGCCGTCCTGTGGCCGTACTCGCGCTGCAGCGAACAAGCGGGGATGCACGATCCAGCGAATTTTTGCCGGATTTTTTGGTCAAACTTTCGGGGTTCGACGAACCTTGGAACTTTTAACCATATTCGACCAGTTTGACTTTGTGAACAGTGTGGCCAGACCTCGATACAAGCATGCCTAGGTTTGGAGAATTTTTTTTTTTTTTTTATGCAAAGGGTTATTTTAATTTTATGAACAGTTGCAATTAAAAGAAACTAATTCTAATCACTGAAGAGGTTAATAACGTAAATTTTTGTATTGTATTAACTAAAATAACCAATCAGTGCTGCCCTTAATTTATCCCTTAGCCATCACCGTCCAATCCGAAGCCAACTGGCCAGCCTGTCGCTCATGAGCATAGCAGTCGAACTTGAGTCGAACCTTTGTCAAACTTTTCACAAGTTTGAAAAGTCGAACATGGTCGAACTCGAACCTCGACCGGTTAGCGACATCCCTAAAACGAGCGCAGCAAAGGAGCTGCTTGGGAGAAAGTGCAATGTTTGACGTCAGAAGTTTGTTGTACAAGATGTTTGCTTTGTGTTGTTGTTTGTGTATGTGTGTTAGATGCAAAAGTCTGAACATTTGCCTTGGGTTTTTTTCAAGCTTTCAATGAAAAGTTAACCAACTGAAGGGAATCATCACATGTGTCAGAGAGTGTCACAGTGTGACTTTGGTAGACAGCCCAAGAAAGCTGAGAAAACAAGCTGGACTTTGTTCGTCTCTCATTCAACCTTACACCAACTGCCCTAAATCACGTCCTGGCCGACGTACCATTTGAAAAGAAAACAGAAAAAACTTCTAGGTTATAAGATTGGTGGAAATTATCTAGGGAAAATTGAACGAAGTACAACTCAACATTTTGAAAACTTCTAAGATGTTGAAAGTGCACTGCTTGCCTGTATATTCTGTTATTTCTGAAGTACAACTAACTAGCACAGCCGGCGGAGAGTCGGGATGGAGGAAAATTGGGACTCCCTCCTGCACAGCTCCAGCCCAAAGTCTCAACCCTGCCTCCTACCATATATGGTGTTGGGGAAATGCCGACGAGGTTTGACCAGAGAAAAATTGGCGACTCCCTCGGCGGGGGGAGAAGGCGGGTTGCAAGGGGGAAGGAGGGGGGGAGGGTGCACATCTTTATTTTTTTTTTTTTTTGTCCAATCCCCCCCAAGGTTATCCTGGCAATGTCCCACGCTCTCTGATGATAGTTTCAAAACGCAGAGGGGAAGGAAATTGGCTTAAGCGGGCGAAGGGAAAAAGATTGCATGTTTCAGTTTTTATGCTGGGCGACGCAAGCTACCGCCCGTCAAGAAGGGCACAGCCGTTAGCACTCATCCATCCGTCCGTCAGAGGAAACGTCATAACCATCATCATCAAAACTTGGATTGTCCATTCTGCAACTTTAGTCTGTATGAACCCAGGCACTGCAATTTCTCGACAGTCCATCTTTCAAACCTTATTTCTAGAACTAGATGGCGGTCACTAAACGTCCTAAACGCTGTGCAGAATTTGTGAGTGGTTCTCAGCCTGGTCACTCTTCACGCTCTGCAACTGCCCAATTCATCCCCTAAAATGTTGTCTATATAGCGGGGTGTTCGTATTAACGGGGTCCATATTAATGAGGCATCACTGTACTCCGTTTCACCTTATGAAAGACCTTCCAAGAATTCCTATCAACAGTCGTCTCCAATTAATTGTCTACATGTTCCCATGCAAGCACTCCTCTTTCTCAATTTGCCTGCCATGCTATCTCGCTAGTTGTGTTCAGCGTTACCAAAAAACGACGGTGCAAAATTGGCGGTTAGAGGGGAAAAAGGAACCCAGACCCTCTTTTGTGTATTCCCCCGCACTTTTGTCCCCCCAGAACGGGGGTCTCCAAACCCCGGAGGGCAGAAGTCTTCCGATCGGCCCTCAGCCAGTGGCGGTCCGTGCAGCGACTCCCACTGCAACCGGCGCAAAAATAAGCGTGCGTAAAAGTTAGCATGGTGATGCACATCAAACGAAGATGCCAGAGGGAATGGAACATATTATTTATGGCCCACTGTCATCACCATTCATAATGACGTTTCATGTCTGTGCAACCATAGTCATTGGCATACTCATTTATAATGCGCTTACATGTCCTGTGTCGTAACTATTGATATTTTTAGCATCAGTTCTAGGATTCTCGCTGGTCTTTTGCCTTATGCTAATATGTCGAAGTTTTTATGCGCTTTGATTTATGCCGGGCAAGTTGTCTAGGTTTATCTACTGCGTTGTTTACTCATTTAAATTAACCTGCTTATAGACGCTTTCAGCGCGTGCCAGATTGAGCCGCCATAGCCGACCTTCTCTTGTCTTACCGAGATGCCGAGCCACTGAAGCGGGCGCTGACAAGTCTCCACAAGGGCCTATGCTGGGGAGAAGGATGCAGTAACACTTAAAATGGCAATAACCTCTCCTGCTGTGGTAGTGATGAAGTGGAGCGAACGGAATAAGAGGCAACCAAAACTGAAGGTCAGTTATGGCAGCGCCCACGCACAGCTGCCTGAAAGCGTCTATTTTCTGGAGATGTCAGCCTTGTAAGACTCATAAACGTCTATGATCTACGCATATGAGAGGTCATGAAAATAGGGTATAGCTTTGCGTGCTGCCAATGCTATTTTATATATATATATATATATATATATATATATATATATATATATATATATATATATATATATATATATATATATATATATATATATATATATATATATATATACATATATATATATATATATATATATATATATATATATCTGGGCCTCCCAATGTCCGACCGGACATTGGGAGGCCCAGAGTTCAAATCCTGGCTCCGCCAATTTTTGGCTTTCGGCGGGTTCCTGAAAAACTTGAATTCTTTAATTCATTGGATTAAGTACGGTTCATTCATCTGCACATATTCGTTTATATATATATATATATATATATGTGAATGCACAAAAAAGAAAACGAAGACAAAGAACATGCACGACATTCAAAACACTCGGGGTACGGAAAGGATATGCTGACAAAAGGCATGGTAAATATTAAAAAAAAAATAGACGATTGTTTTAGTCACTTGTCAAATAACACGCATGGAAGTTTTGGCACTTTTCTGCAGAGCAAACACGGGGTTTTTCATCTCGCACGCTCGAGATCGCAAAACGCAATAAATTTCGTGGCCGCCGCCATGAACCTTGCTGCCTTGCTGCCGATGCCAACGAAAAGACGCTTCTTGATTGAGGAAAGACAAGATAATATCACAAAATGTCAAAGGCAACAAAACTTGCGCAAATATAATACCAACGTAAAAAAACTATAAAAATTTAAAATTGATTTTTTTTTTATTTACTCGTTTTATTTACTCAGACAAGTTCACAAATATTGCGGGGAAAAGTCAAAATCCGATGTCAGAGGACGCTAGAATAGCGCAAATGGCGCGCATGCGCAATGCTATTAGCAACCAGTCGCGCGCAGCAGACTGCATAGCTTACGTTTCATTTTGAGCGTGCATCTCTAATCATTTTGCAAAATATCACGTTTCTCTGGTCGTCTCACCATTCGCGTGGCAATGCAAGCTCCCCAAAGTCGCTAAATTCGTTATGTGGTGACATTTCCGATTCCTACGCCACCCAAAAAATGCAAACTAGCCGGTCAGTCGTGTCACATAGCAGCACCGACCGACCCTCCCAAAAGAGATTGATATCAACAGCTGACAGCGCGTTTTCAGCAATCTGGAAAGTAATCAGTGTTTTTTCAGCCTGTGAGTCCCGATCTTGGAAGCCTGGATCAGCGACATCGGCGCAGTGAGTGATCGACCAACAGAAGCCGTTTCCTCTCTATAATCGTAATATATCGCGACGAGTTCGAAATAAATAAACAAATGACATAATGCACGCGTACGCGAACTTTGACCCATATATACCACCTCTGTTAACAGTTATATGCAGTGTGGGGCAGCATTTGGTGCTCGGTGTATCGCCACGTCTCCACTCTGTTTCGTTTTTCCCCCAAGCTGTTCACGGTTCGTCGGTGTGCGCCAGATAAAAAGATTTAAAAAAAAAAAAAAAAACAACATATATATCGAGTGCTCGTACGATAAAACCTCGCACGAGCGCTCGTGCGACGCCGGCATTCTCGGCATTCTTTTGCACCGACGGCGCACGCACGCACGCACGCACGCACTCTGGAAGCTTCACGCTACGGTGCGTTTATGAAGCTCCGACGCCGGTCTAAAGCGTCAGTCTAAACGTCTCTTTACGTACAAACTGCTAAAAAAAAAACAAAAAAAAAAGAGAAGAAAAAGTTAAGCAGTTTGAGTTTTAAAATGATAAACCAAGTCGAGATTTCTTTGCTAGCTTTAGGTCATTTGTCGAATTTTCAATCTTATTCGTTATTTTAGATAGTGGTACACAGATGTCTCATAAGGGAAGGGGTGTGGTGACGGTTTATTGCTGAGACTCTTCAGAATATAAAGCGATAAATTTGACATTAGCAGTAAAGTGTGAATTTTGGCGTCCATATAATCAAATTTGATGCGGTAGAACACTGACCCCTCTCATTTACAAAATAAGCTACACTACCAATGAGTGGATGCACACTTAATTTCTCTTCAAGTTAGAGATAAAATAACAATGGTGGTACAAAAAAAAAAAAAAAAACAGTTACACAAACATAGTATGGATTTTAGGTCTGCAAATAACTGTGGGAGTGCTGTATACACCATCATTTAGTTGCGGCTCATATGCATACATCAGCATTTTTAGCCAACCTCACTGACACTCATAATCGCCTCAGTCGCCCTCATCAAAAATTACACTCACAATCACACTTCAACGCAAAAATTACTATCATGATTCAACGCGAAACTAAAACTCACTTCCACCCACAATCACAATTTATTCGAAGCAAGGTCATCACACACACACACACACCATCACGATTAGATACAAAACCAAAACTCGCACTTCCTCATCATGTTGGTCATCATGCTCACAGGTTATCACGGTCATCGCATACACTTGCGGATCGTCAGACTCACAGGTCGTCACACTCACAGCTCATCACATTCATCACGCTCGCTCACTCATCGACCTCACTCAGAAATAGTCCTTTCCCTTATCGTAGTCACGGCTTGACTCCTTCTGAGCGCTGGCCAAGTGCTCAAGCAAGGCGCATTTTGTTGGGATACAAATGCGCGTCATCATGACTCTCATGAAGTATTCTTGAAGTCTCATGGAGTATTCCAAGCTTGCAGTACTGTATTGTCCAGTGTGTACGTAAGTCGCAGATTTTCCCCAAATTTTCATCAGTGCATCTTATACGGTAATGCGACGTATATGAGATTTTTATAAGCATGAACCTTAACTGTAGAAGATGTAGGCCACATGGACATTTATGACAAAGGAGGAACAGCAGCGCAGCGTTTGGTCACATTGTTGCATTGTACTGAATCCCGATCCGTCTGGTATGTGACCATGGTACCGTGGATCCGCTTTCCCTCACAATTGGCGCCCGGCAATATGGTGGCTTCCTGTAGAAACAACGGCCGACATATCAAAACAAATTTGCTGCAAGTGTTATATTTCTCGTTGGATTTGTTGGCGAGAATGTCGGGAATGACTCCCACTGGCGCACATATTGCAACCACAATATACATGTGTGCAGGCTTATCGTTCCAGTTTCGCTGTGCTGACCGTACAAAGATGTGTGTCATATAAACCTTTTTCACAGGGGCGCCGCCATCTTGAAATATTGTCACTTCCAGTATGGGCGAAAACGCTGTTTTGCCGTCGCCACGCCAATAGAATGCATTGAGGAGATACCGTAAAATACCAGGCAAGCGCCCACTCAAAATTTAGAGATAATCGCGAAAAAATGAGGGATGGGCGCTTGTCCGGTCGTCAATTTTACATATTAAATGTACTGTGCATATTTTCTCAGATCTTACAAATTCGGGTATGGGCGCTTAGTGTGGTATGGGCGGATGCACGGCATTCTACGGTAAGCGTAATCGTCACCCATTCTCATTTTGTCTCCCCTCTATTTTTTTACTATTTGGAGGTTGAAACGTTTTACTATTTTTTTGTCACCCATACTGGATGTGCCTACTTGGCAGTGGGCACAGACGTTTTTCCGTGCTTGTTTTTCAAATAGCAACACAAGAATTATCGGTGAAGAAATCTAATGAAAAACTAAGAGTTCAAGAAGGCTTCAACAAAAACACTCCTAGCTGGAGCAGAAATTCCCAGAAATTGGCGTTTAGGTTTTTAACTGATTTTATATTTTTCACTCCAGTAGATGTTTATCCAATTTTTTTTTCCAGATTTAGTTATGTTTGCGTTATTGTCACAAACAGATGTTTATTGGTGCTTTTCAGTTAAAACAAGGAAGTCTACAGCCTACTTGTATACCGACTATTTCAAGAAAGTGGTAATTTCAAGGGGGTGCAATTTATACAACAAATACTGCACCTAGAAACTGCACATGTGCCTCTATTTGTGTGCTAGGGTTCGCACCTATCTCTCCAGCAATGTTCTACGCCAGGAGGGCTTTAAAGCCTGGCTGGTATGGTGGAAGTCAAATTTGTTGCATAGGGATTTAGGCAGCAGGAAGTTAGTCTAACTTAAAATGACATCTGATATGTCTCCACTATAGAGGGGAAATCTGGCCAGTGCAGTTTGACTGCTAGCCTGAGGTCTTCAGCATGCACGGTATTCTTGGTGCCACCTGCCAAATGCTCAGCAGAATCCATGCACGCTGGGGACGAGGTGCGTGCCTCTTACACCACTCCCCCTCCATGTCGTCTGCTAGCAAACCTTGTCTGGCACGCCCAACATTCCGTCAGCAGATAACATGCAGGGTATTAGAAATTTTAGCCCCAATGCTGTCGGCAGTCTTTCACCTCCATTTAATGCCAGCTTTGTGTGGCCAAGTAACCGTGTGACAGCAGTACTTCTCTTTAATGTAGAATGTGCCATGGAGCTGATTTGGGCAGCCTTTTGAGCATTATGTACATTACAAGAAAGCATTCATGTACATTACAAGAAAGCATTCATGTGCATTACAAGAAAGCATTCAATGGTAAAGCAAAAAAGGCTCATATAATAGTTAGCCTGCATTCATGTGTATGTGCAAACAGCCTAAGATAACGCTAACAAACACACAATTCATATGCACATATATATCAACTGAGCAAAAAAAACATTTTGTGTAATTTTGACTTTATAGGTAGGATTACTGCTTGCTTTTTGCAGCAGCTAGAGCTGCTTTCGTTTTATCTTCCGTAGGATTGGCCCATTGAGGTATAAGCAGTGTGCGGCATTCCCTTTAAAAAATCCCAAGTTGCAGAAAGTGCCATGTACCAGAAAACATGTTCGCTGTGGCTGGCAATGCTGATAACTGAAACTAACATCTTTTCCCAGCAGAGTTGAAGGAGACAATCTTCCTTGCAGCATCAGAGGCCCTCCCGTGTTTTTGCTGCGACAGATCGTTCCCATCCCAAGAGCTTTTATTCTGTGTTCCACCTTAAGACGTACCGCAGCGAAGGGCTACCACAGCAAGCCCCATGTTCAAGGATGCACAAATTCTCGCGCAGTAGGTAGTATTCACTGGCTGCCATAGTCGAGCCCTTTGCTGCTGAGCGCGAGATTACGACAAACTTCAATGCTCCTGCAATGTACGTTTTACACCACTAAGATTCTAGTTCTTGCAAGACAAGTGGGGGCTTGTTCTAAGCATATGCTGTGACACCGCACTCAAATATGGCGCCCAGTGAATGCCACCTATACAAGCACCTGCCAGAGCTATGAGCTCAGGCTTTTAGCATTTGTTGAACTGTTCCCTGGAGAGAAAAATGTGGACTAACGAAAAAACGCTGTTACCAGGTGACGCGCCTTCGTGCTCAACGCCACTCTTCATAAAAGTAATGTAGAAAACCTAAAATGAGTTTTCATGCATTTTTTTTTTTTTGCGATAGTGATGTTTAGTTTTTAGCGATGGGAGTGTATTGCAGTTGACTTCGAAGCAATCTTATTGAATGTGTGGAGATTCTAAATTTGTAAAATATATTGGAATAATGCTTTTTTTAACTAAATGTTATGAAGAAAGTTAAGTACAGTCAACTCTCATTAATTCAAACTAACATGCAGGTCCCTCCCATCCAATGTGTCTCTGTGAGCGGAAACTCTCGGTAATTTAAACTTTGCTTTATTCAAACAATTTTTCGGTCCCCCTCAATTTTGAATTAACGAGATTCGACTGTAGCTAAATAAACGGACCGCTGGAACTTGCACAGCCTGGGGAAAAAAATGTTTATGTCTACGCTTTGTGGGCTAATTTTCGTCGGCTCTATCGGTCGATTTGTGCATACTTCAGGTCACACGAGACGAGAAAAGTGTTGTTTACTAAGTACAGATGTATGCCTTTCTTGAGTGAGCTATGTTATGCCATTGTATATTGGATAACTTGTCTTGTCTTTGCACTTGCCTCTTCAACCCTTCCCCATTGTTTGATGTTTTAGTGTTTTTTCTGGCATAGTAATGCTTTAATTGTTTTTCACTCTTGACACTCAAATGCACCCATGAATGACCAAAGAAGTTGTCTTGTAGACTTATGTGGGGGTCCTTCCTTTCGTCTCTTTCCTTTTCTCCCCTACTTCCCCATTCTAGTGTCGATACCGTGATGTTGTCCAAATGCTCGTTACTTGTATGTACTGTTGGCTTACTATTGCAGGCTGTAACAGTGAGATTTATAGGAACTGTATAGATTATATAACCTTCAGATACAAGCAGTATATGTAGTTGCAGTTTATAAATATAGGGAGCTTGTGAACTCGACTCATACCGTATATTCACATTCAAGCAGGTGAGTATGACCACTGAAATTCTATTTTAAAAGAAATGGCAGCTTCTATGCAGAGACATTTAGACTTTTCAGGGTTATTTGGAAGGCATGCAGGTCCCTATTGCCTCTGTTATGTGTTTTTCTATCATCCTCGACAAACTCCAGGCCAGCACACTTCGACGAAATCTTTACCTTAGTTTCCCACATCATACATAAAAGACTGGATGGTGTTAGCTAGGTGAGACCTAATGCAAAATCAGTAGCATTTGTGAGTTTGCATGCCACAACGTTTTGATCGACAAGAGAAAGGGCAGAGAGAGGCCGGGGGGTGCGAAACTCGCACGTGACTTGATAGTTCCGTCTCGGCCCAGGGGACCTGGACGGGATGGTCTTCACCACGATGGGGGAGAGCTTCCGGTGCGGGGACTGCGGCAGCCTCTTCTCGTCCAAGGACTACCTGGAGCGCCACTGGAAGATGACACACAACCGCAAAGAGGGCCGCCACCTATGCAGCTACTGCGGCTACTCGAGCGACATCCGGGCGCACGTCATCAGCCACGAGAGGACGCACACGGGCGAGCGCCCCTTCAAGTGCGCCACCTGCGGCAAGGAGTTTGCCCAGAAGAACCGCCTCATCACCCACCAGCGGATCCACACGGGCGAGCGACCGTACAAGTGCGACGTCTGCGGGCAGGGCTTCAAGCAGGTGGTGCACATGACCATCCACAAGCGGCTGCACACGGGCGACTGCCCCTACGTGTGCGAGGAGTGCGGCAGGGCCTTCAACCAGAAGGGGACGCTGGTCAGGCATGCCCAGACGCACCTGCGGCGCCTCAGGCGCTGAGTCGTGCGGTGACTCCTCTCGCGAGGCGGGCCGTTGGCAAGTGGGCACAACGTGACTGGTTGGAACGTGCTCGTTCTCTAGGTCTTCGAAATGTGCGTCGTCGGTCACGGTGAGGCCGGACGGGAGGTTGGGGGAGCCGGAGACTTTGGCCGGAAGCCGGCGACAGAATTGTTTGGAGTACTTTGTTAAGGGCGCTTGGGAGAGCTAATTATATTTATAGGCTGATGCAGAATTGAGAGTTCTATGCCTGTTTCATTTTAGCCATCCCTATAGTCTTGGGGAATTTCGCCATTTTGTCCTTGTTTGTGGGGAAAAAGGGTAGAACCTTGAGCTGCAAATTTTAAATTGTGCTTAAGGCCTACGTAAAGGGATTGTCCGGTTGAAACTGGAAGTACCTAAGTTTTTACACTCGATACGTCGAGGGAGCCTTCATATAGACAAATGTCATTTTTATTATGATATGTAATATGTCTCAATATTAATTAAACCTTTCGTAAGCGTGTGTTCAAAACTGCACCCCTGATTTCGCCAGTGTCAATAGCCGACATTCGTAGCTGCTGTGTGACGTCGCATAACGCAAAGAAAGATGGTCAGGATAACAAAGAGTTGGTCAATAAATATCTGGTATTTGGTTTCGAATTATATAGTCTCCTAGGTGGAGACTATATAATTCCCTACTGAATAATGTCTTGTAATGCAGTTCCCAATTAAGCGCATACAAGAAAGTCGCGCCTTTTAGCGGGACATTGTTACTCGAAAATGGCCGTTAGCTTCAAGCAAACGTATGCCGTTTCGCACATATACTCAACTGCGACGGCTACCGATCGGACAAGGAGCACTTGCAAAAAGAAGGAAGCAGATTTTGCCTCAGAAGTGGCATCTGGGTTCACGAAGCGGCATCTGGTCGGGTCCACATATCGACGTATCCACTGGATTGGTGATGCGACTGCGGGTCATTCCCTCGGAGGTGACGCTTGTGGGTCGAAGGCAAATGCCGAATCGTTCAAAATGCTTGGTAACATTTCTTGATCGTCACTTGACTTTGGCGAGCTTGGTGAATCGTAGCCATGTTTCATTTTCACACGCGGGTCAAACAGAATCGGGCTGCATGCATGCTAGCTATAACTTTTGGAATCATTTCAAGATGGCTTAGCTGTTGGTTTCGGTTTTGCTGCATAATCAAACCAATTGATTCGATTTGGATGAGGAGTGGGTGGACATAGTTGAATATCGTTGGCACAGCATCACACCTCAACTTCCGAGCCTTCTTTGCTCTTAGAGCTCAGCTCGTAGCTCTCCTCTGTGAAATGATTGCTGCATAAGCGGGCTCTCTATCTTGACGGGAACCCAGTCCCTACGCACAAGGACGATCCAGTTTGTTTGTCTCTGCATGTCTCACGGATGTTAGGTGCTGCCCGGTGGTTGTGACACCCAACTGCGCAACAAAAATCTCACTCATCCACGAAACAAGTCGAACACAACAAAAAATTCAGCAGAGACACTTAACACTGCTCACGTGTAGGAATGCAAAAGCATTCCTACATGCAGTGCATTCTTTTAAGTAGCACGCCGCGTATTCCTTTTCCAGACGGCACTCCGGTGGTGACACAGCTTTCATGACGATGCATCTGCATTGCTGTGCTTTTCTTTGCGTTTCATTTCCGAGGCACGTCCGCTTTGACCTCTGGCAGCCTCGCCGGCTTCCATGACGAAGCATCGATGCGTTGCAGCTAATGGGACTTTAAATGCTGTTTTCCTCATGCAAATGAGCATTTAGGCGGCTTTTTTCACTGCTACAGACAACAGCTATAGACACCGTTGGCTCCATTCCATGGAACAGCTAATACTTTCGCATTAAAAATGAAGCACGCTGCAGCACTCACCTGCACTTCACCCGTAGGCAAGCGACGAGATGAAAATGCTTGCTTTGCGTTATGCGACGTCGCAGCTTCAGTGCTGCCGATGAAAGCGCCGTTTATGCTAAGATACAATTGGTGCAGTTTAAAATTTAATTACTCATGCAGAGGGGCATATAAAATTCAGATATGGCACGGACAATGCGTTTCAAGGCAATAACAATGATATTCAATTGTTTTGTCGAACACAAAATTTGAGCGGACAATCCCTTTAAGTCAAACGATACTGCCGATTATTTTACAGTATATGGCTCAGGAGAACTTGTTCCCTAAACCCAGTTAAGTGATTTTATGGCCCGATGAATTTGCAAGAGTGGCATCAAACGCAGGCACCAAAGGAGAGGTATAGTATATGCTCCAATCAGGATATTCCGCTCCTGCTGATGCAGCAGGATATGGGGATCAAGTGATACCGTAAGCTACTGAGCATGGATCCATGTCTGAATATGTGCCCATTACCTACTTTTTGAACGTTTGAAATGTAGGCAAAGGACGTATCAAGCGTCCATCCTAGCAAACTTCCGGGCCAACCAAGCTAACTGAGGTGCTCGTCCACGTCACCTGCTTCTCCGAGAAGCCGGTGTAAAGCGGTGAAGCTTTATGCTTGTGCGGCGGTGTGAAGCGGTAATGTTTGACGCCAGAGCACGACGCAAGAGGGGCCCGACGAGCGATGCAGCTACCGCTTCAAAAATGGAGGGTTCTGCCATATCCCTGTACTGCTGCTTTACCGCCCTGTCAGATCAAACAGGGGTCTACTACTATGTGGCCCTTCTACTTTCAGACCTAACAAATGCTCATCCCCATTCGTTTCATGATTATCTCGCAAACTTTGCATGGGTGCTTGTTCGGTATTTTATGGCAAGCTCAAATCAGCAGCACAATAACAGTCCAGAAGCCCCGCTTGCAATTATGCATCAATGCTACGACGAAGGAATGCGAGAATAGTGGAGAGTGTTTAAGTCATTCCTATCTTTCCCATTTTCAAAGGGCTTGTACTGTGAAAGCTACGAGGAATATTTAATTCAAACCTCTCTGTTCCCATTTCTATTACATTTTTCACTAGCACCTTCTATTGCACCCAAGAAAGAAGCTACAGAAAATTAAGTTTTGCCTTAAAGGGGATGTGCAAATTCCTATTGGGTAGGAATGTTTCTCACTTTACACAAGCTTACTGGCACTAGTGATGCCCAAGCACACTCGCACCCAATGCCATTGACCAACAAACTCCTTTCTCGCTGCATAATTTCAAGGATTAAAGCGGACATTTTCTTTCGTTTCCTCCGCAAAACCTGATGACGAAGTGCGAAAATCGCATTGTTGACAACACCAACAATGTGATCCTTAGGGTTTCCTAATCAAGCTTTGCGATCCTCGCGGTGACAGTATTTAAATGTGGCTCATACAGTGGACACAAGCACTTTGTGAGCATACAATTTGGGCTTGTGACAGTCAGTGCCTCGACATGCATTCGGGTAGCGGCCGTGTCCAATCGCTGCGATGAGGGGAATAGCCAAACGTGAAACTCTGCACTTGCCTTGTGCCCTGCCATCTCGAGCAGATGATTGTGATGAACATTGCTGGCATATGATCGGCTCCGGATCACATGTCCTCTGGTTCTGGCTGCGAGTCGAGGAATGAACACTGTTCGTTTTGCTCTCATTTTTTCTACAACACTTATTGTGTGGAGATAATGCATGTTTCATAGGTTGTGAGTGTCGATCGAGGAACGATTCTAAGCAGTATGTATTTATCGAAAGTACAAAAATCATTGCATCGCCTTAACTTTTTTTGAGTATGAAATACCATGCTTTAGAATTACGAGCCTTCCATGCTTCCTAATGAAACTTTGCAGTACTCCATCCAAAATGTGGCAGTAGTGTTGCAGGCATGTCTGGCTGGAACATTCCCCTTGGAGCCTAAAGACAACCATGTTTTGTAGTAGACAATGAAAACAACCTGCCTGTATGAATGCTGCTGGGGAAAGTTCCCACTTTAAATTTTAAGTTGTCAAATCTTGCACTGTTGGCTGGGTCACATACACCGTGCAAGCACCAAGTGACGGCACCTTTTTTGGAAATCACAAGGTCGGGAGGTTTTCGTACGAAAGCTGGTGAGCATGTGCTCGAACGAGTGCGGGCTCTTTCTTGACCAAAGAAGCTAGACCCTGCTAGCTCTACTGAGCCACAGTGACCGTACACTGGGCTCCTCCGAAATCCCTTTTGTGCGTATTGTGGCTTATCTGTTTGCCTCCAGGTTCCTTCCAAGACGCTTGTCTTTCCTAATGCACCTGTCATTCCGTCCTGGGAATTTTCAAATCCTGTTTTCTATTAATGGTGCCAGTTATTTCTAATGTGGTGGATTGGAACTTGGGATTCTTTGTCGGTGGCATCGTCAGGGAAGGCTCATATTGAGTCAGCATTGCCAAATGCACGGGATGTAATCAATATTGAGTTCAACACTTGTTGTTTTAACGTGCAGGACGGAGGGATCGTGAAGCGTAAGGCTTTCACATTATATTTATCAGCCCGGCGCATATGCGCATTTTCCTTTACGTGTGCAGCTAATAGCAATATTTGTGTATAGTTTGTCACAGTGTCGGGTGTCAGAAAAGTACATCTCAAAAGTACTTGAAATAAAGTGCAAAGTAATTATTAGAGGTAATGTAGTTCAACTAGTATTATAGGTTACAAACACGTTTGTTTTTGCAAACTCGAATAATTGTGCAAATTGTCCAAAACGTGTAGTGCAGTTCTCATGGAGAGCATTTAAATTTATAATCAATCTTTAGAGAAAATTAGATAAAACAAATTAGTAACCAATCGCCTTAATTTGTCCAGTTTAATGAGGTTATGGGAATTCCAGTTTTCTTTCAGGCAGAAATCGTGAATGGCGAACTGTTTTGCCCACACATTCCCATGTGTGAGATGGGAAACACCACTGACAAAATACAAAAAATTGTTTAGACTTAGTCCACACAGTACCGTACAAGTGCTTGCCAGCATCTCTCGTATCACGCTTGGAGGGAAACGTCGGTGCCGGCAAGCTCCATTAGCAACGCAACAGCACATGTGTGCACTACTACATAAGCTGACAGCTCGTTCTACAATTTGGCGACGGCAAAACAAATTTTTCTACAGCAGCCTTCAGGGATTTAATGAAACGAGAATCGGAAACGCCAAGGACAGCTGTAACGCACAGGACTCAACCTGCCTTATCAAGCTCCAGGCTTGTTTTTGGACATTTTATAGGTTGTATCGAACAAAGTGACTCGTTGGCACTGTATACAACAAAAAGAGCTCACAAAAATGTGATATTGTTTAAAATTAAATAAATCATTATCAATCGGTACAGAAGCCAGCGAAGATAACCACATTGGGCGACTATGTGGCACGTCGTCTGCTAGAATTTTATAGACCATTTGGAATATTTCCAAGCACCCCGGCCCGCACTCGAGAAATCTAGTGATCGCCAATTTCATCTGATTCCATGGTTACACAGTTTTTGAGCGTAATTCGAAGTCACCTTAAACGAGCGCCTGATATACCCCAAGGACCTGTCATATCACTTTTAAAATTTCTTGTCAGTGTCAGCATTTTTGATACTGTGTATGCGATCCACCCTTTAACCTGGCTGAGCTGCATAAATCTCTTACAATATTATCATTCTCGTGATTGTTGTTTTAGCAGGAATTGCTTAAAAAGCCGAGAATTCACAACAACAAAAATCGGGATTTAG